TGAAAATAGGAAAAGCTGAGATGGCAAATCTAGCACATGGCAAGCTTGGACCAAATAAGGCAGGAAAGAAATCCTTCAAGTATCAAGGGCACAATAAGGGGAAGAAGTCTTTCGGCAATCTTTCAACTATTTCTAGCACTTCTTCAGCAAGTGAAAAGGTTGAATGTTTCTTCTGCAAGAAACCTGGTCATATGAAGAGAGACTGTCTGAAGTATAAGCAGTGGCTGAAGAAGAAGGGAGGGAATAATCCACAGTCGGAAGGCAAGGACAAATGAGCAACTGCTTTTGGGAAACTCACAGCCTTTGGAGGTGGAGCTCGTTGGGACTTTCAGTCTGCGCTTGGATTCTGGAGTTTTCTTAGTTTTATTAGACACTTTCTATGTACCTCCTATGAGAATGAATTTTATTTCAGTTTCTAGATTTTCTGAATCTGGTTATAGTTTTGTTTTTGAGAATAATTTTGTTTCTATCAAAAATGGCTTGGATGTTATCAGTTCTGAATCTGGTTATAGTTTTGTTTTTTAGAATAATTTTGTTTCTATCAAAATTGGTTTGGATGTTATCAGACATGGTTTCTTAATTGACGGTCTTTATAGATTAAATCTGGATGCATCTCTTCTTTCCCCTCTCTGTATGTCTGTGAATTCATTTTCTTCTGGTACAAAGCGTCCTAGGATTAATAATAATTCAGGAGTGAAGGTCTCCTTGACCTCATTCATACAGATATTTGTGGACCTTCCCATTCTCTCTCATAGTGGTCAGCGATACTTCATCTCCTTTATAGATAATTTTTGTACTCTCCCAAGTTCTCCGCAACAAAATGGAGTAGCTGAAAGAAGAAATTGTACTTATCAAGATGTTGCTCGCAACATGATGAGTCATATGGCTTCCGAGAAAACCCTGTCAATCGCTGCATATACCTCAAAATCAGTGGGAGCCGGTTTCTCATTCTAGTATTGTATGTAGATTATATATTGCTTGCCAGCAGCGATATTCATCTCCTACATTAGACTAAAGTTTTTCTTTCCCTGTCGATCGCTGCATATACCTCAAAATCAGTGGGAGCCGGTTTCTCATTCTAGTATTGTATGTAGATTATATATTGCTTGCCAGCAGCGATATTCATCTCCTACATGAGACTAAAGTTTTTCTTTCGAGGCATTTTGATATGAAAGACCTCGGAGATGCTCATTATGTTTTGGGCATCAAGATCCATAGAGATCGAAGTAAAGGCTTGTTGGGCTTATCTTAAAGGGCTTATATTGAGAAAAAACCTTCAGCGATATGGAATAACGTTTTGTGCACCAGGTGAAGCCCCAGTTGTCAAAGGAGATATGTTCAATAAATCTCAATGCCCATGAAATGAAGTTGAGCGTAGGCTCGTGAACTCTGAGGAGTATGTCTCTGCAGTTGGCAGTCTAATGTATACGGTGTCATGTATCAGGCCAGACATCAGTTATATCGTTAGTCCTTGATAAGGTCGAACAAGGATTGATTGATGTTCCTCATCTGCCGACTCAGTTGATGATTGTTGATCCTTTGACCAAGGGAATTTCTCCAGGGCTCTTCAAGGAACATGTATTTAGTATGGGTGTTTTAGAGTCTTTCGATTCTATATGATCAGTGAGATTTAGTTGTCGTGGTAGTTTTGTTTTATTTTCAAGTACTATATTCTGGATTTCTTTGAGCTCATAAAGAAACTATTGTGCTAATTTTTATATATATTAGCAGTTTGATATTTTCAAGCATTGTGTTATTGATCATTGTTGCTTGATATACATTTTTAAAGTAAAGAAAACTAAAGTTTAAAGTTTTTAGAGTCTTTCGATTCTATATGATCAGTGAGATTTAGTTGTCGTGGTAGTTTTGTTTTATTTTCAAGTACTATATTCTGGATTGCTTTGAGCTCATAAAGAAACTATTGTGCTAATTTTTTAGCAGTTTGATATTTTCAAGCATTGTGTTATTGATCATTGTTGCTTGATATACATTTTTAAAGTAAAGAAAACTAAAGTTTAAAGTAAAGAGTTTCAAGTTAATCGTAAAGAAACTCGAATTAAAGATAGTGGTCCATAGAGTCATAAAGGTTAAAGTAAAGAGACTCTTAAATTTGTGCAGAAGCTGAATGTGATTGGGCATCACATTTGAGGCTTTCGTTCTGGACTAAAGGTTTTCACATGGCGGATGCCGGTAAAAGTTTCAGAACGGCATACACGTTTGTGTATGTTGCAGAGGACACTTAAGGGCGTACATCGGATTTGACCATAAGGGATGTACGGCTCTATTACACTCCACTAAAACCACCATAAGGAAAAATCTTTAGAACATTAGTGGTACTAGCGGTTGGACCGTGGAGTGACCTTGTGCCATATTAGAGCATATAGTGTTTTCACGATCAACCATTAGTGGTACTTTTGTTTTAAGGAAAAGGTTTCGGAAACTATCCTAATTAGAATCATGGCAACAAGTTGTTTTCTAAAATAAATGGGTGCGCACCCGACTTTTGAAAGTTTTTGAAAATTTAAATATTTTTGAAAATTAAAATGAGGTATGTTGTGCCAAGTGGGAGATTGTTGGGTTAGATTAATCCAACGAACCCAAGTGGCCCAACCTACTCGATTTTGGATTTGATTTAAAGTTGTCATCGATTCAAGTTAGGATCAGGATGCTAACCACATGGTCTGGTTAGACAGTTTCAAGTTTATCAAGTTGGGTGGTTATCTTGAATATCTAAAGGATATGATCAACCGGAGTGTAATCCCACGGTTGTGATTAAACCATGATGGGTAGGGTTAATCACAAATATCTATTTAAAGGGTAGGAGTCCTCTCAACCGTATGCAGAAAAGAGACTTAATTCCCATCATTGGCTACGGGAGGAGAGAGGAGAAGACTTCCATTGTTTTCGACGGTGAACGGTAATTAATTTATATTTCTAGTTCAATTATTCATGCCTAGATCATCAAATTATCCAACAGAAACACCCTAAAACTTTTAAGATTTATAAAAAACACCATAATTTTTAAATTTTATAAAAAAACACCCTAAAAATATCTAAACTTCTCACTAGTAACAAAACCTATGAATGATAAATAGGATTATAAAAACTTTGACCGTAGACACTATGTTAAGTACATGAAAATTGTAAAATTATTAAATGGGTCACTTGGATCGGTGGATAACTCGTTTAATAAACAGGTTGAACCAATTATTTGATGGGTCGGATCGGGTCGATATTATACGGATCGAGTCAAAATTTATATGGGTGGGGTCAGGTAAGGTTGACCCGTTTGCGACTCCTATTTGACTGCAGTAGCAAGCAAAGGGGGAAACACAATGACTGATGCTAGAGGATACTTCCTCTTCCAAGCCGAGAACATGAGGCCAAGTATGTTGAGTATGTGCAAAGTACCGGTGCAAGCACCAGCTTTTGCAGTAAAGCAGTCATCCCTAAATCTTTAGATTCTAGGGTTTCCCCCAAATCCGAAAGATCGACAAATTGGGGTCCTCTCAGTTTGTTCTCTTCACTGTAGAGTTCTTCGAGTTCGCTCCAGCTGGCCCTGGCTTGTGTCCTTGGCAATTTTGAGGGTATGTTTGGCAAACTTTTAAAACTAGATCAGGACTGAAACTGGACTGATCCAGTTTTATGTTTATTTTTTATTTGCAAAAATCGTCTAGTTTTGATGCGGCTCTTCTTTGGCAAAAAGAGACCATAAAGTGAGTTTAGCTCTGGGCCACCACCTTCTTGCTTCAACCTTAAACTAGTTTAGAATAGAACTGGTCCAGTATTAGCCATTGCCAGATTTTGGGTGATTGTTAAAACATACTCAGCGTACTTTTAACTGATGTGTAATTTCATTTGTGTGAGCTCTAGAGTTCGCGATGTTATGAATTGTGTTTTGCTGGAATAAGTATTTGACGTAGATGTACTGATCAGTGATCACGATGAGCAAGTCCTTGTGTGTGTTTTTTTTTTAGGAATCAAAAGTGATTCTATTATATAGCATGAAGAAGAATTTGATTATAAATATGGTCTGGACCATCCGAAGCTTCTAAAAAGAAGGTAAATTTATATTTGCAAGCACACTGAACTAAATTATGCACACAATAATTACCCGAGCGGCGAACGTGATTGACATAATAAGGGTCCATACTCTTAAAAAGAGCCCAACATTCACCGACAGTTGCCAAAAGCTGATACGGGTGATCAATGACCTCATGCAACATGAGCACAAGGTCGAGACAATGAGATTCAAGTATGATATTCATCCAACTGAAAGAAACTGCAAGACGAAGACCTATAAGCAAGGCATGAGTTTCGGCATCAAGAGGGAAAAGTGGAGGCCTAAAGGTGCAATATGAGACAATATGGTGGCCAAGATGATCTCGAGCAATAACCCCAAAATCCGAGCAATCAAACTGAGAAGCAGCATTCACATTAATTTTCATTACATTGGGAGGTGGAGCGATCGAGAAGGATGGTGAACTAGTGTTGAATAGAGAGCCTGAAGATGTCATACCCGGAGATTGAAAACAAGCATCACTACAAGAAATCTGGTATTTAACGACCAAAATTAGTGAAGGGACTAGTTGACCGTCATTAATATGCATGTAATAACGACGGGTTTTAAAGCCTTCGTCGAGTGATTACAATTATTAGTAAAATGATGTGAGATGGGATAACGGTTTTCCAATTCCTTCGTTAATTTGATCCTAATACCGTCGTTATTAGGTCTCCTTAAAGATGAAGGGATTCATTACCTTCATTGATGATATTCATAATCATAATAGGACTTATAGATTAACCTATTACTATTAATCAAAATACCCAAAGCCCCAAACCCAAACCCGAAATAAATCCCCCGTAACTTCCCCTAATAATCCCTCTGAGCGTCGACCACCCGCCACCGCTGCTTCATCGCTGGTTCATCCCCAACGTCGCCCACCCCAGCAGCTTGCTCCTGTTGTCGTAGCGCCGCCCCACCGCCGGCGTCATCCTAGCACCGCCGGCGTCATCCCAGCACCGCCGGCGTCCCCGCCTTCGATCTGGGCTCGACGTTTGGTAACCTACAACCTGGTTTGGTTTATTTGCACACAAGTCCCTATAGTTTCAACTACTTTGTACTTTTGCTTAATTCTATATATGTAGTGGGTTGCTGTGTTAGGAACTGATGCAAGTCGTGGAGCTGTTATTCAAGTTGGAATAGATGAATACAACAGTTGAAGACTTATGCTGGAAATGAGTGCACAGCTGAGAACAGATACACCTGAACATGGACTGATATGCAAGGAAAGTCAGAGGGAGGGGCTAATCCCTAACATTTTGTGTCTTGAAATTATGGTTAAGTGCCAAAAGTAATCATTTAAAACAATATAGTCTCACTACAATTTGGACTTTCGAATTCCATAAATTGATAGTTAAATTAAAGTTTAACTTTTTGTTGGCCTTTTATGAAAACCTTGTTTTTTTAAAGGATAAAAATGGTGTCTAAAGTTTGACTCAAGGAATGATACTAAACTAATAGTTCTGTGTGTTTTACATTACTAATCATGTCTTTTTAATAGATTTGAGTGCAAAAAAAAGTAAGGAAATTAGCCTGAATATAAACATATATAGAAATTTTGTTTAATATATTATAATAAGAGTGTTTGTTTAATTCTTTTGATTTCTTTAGGAACTAAAATAATCTGTATTAAAAAGTTAAATTCAGATGACTAATTTTTGATAACCGTAGTTCTTGCGATGAATTGTATTTACTTTTTATTAGATGCTTTCGGATGTTTATCATTTTTAAATGCTTTTATATGTTGAATGACCCTATATATAAACATATGAGCCTTAAATATAAGCATTTATTTGTGTTTAGTTTTTGAAGAGGTTGAAATATTTTTCAGGAAATTTTAGTACATTGCTTGAAATGGCGCCGAATAAAGATTGGATGGACCTAGTAGATGATGATAGACTTGATCCAAAATATAAAGAAGGGGTTGATCAGTTTTTAGACTATGCATATGAGAAGCTGTTGGATAGTTTTAATGAAAAGGATGAAGACTTTGAAATTCGATGTCCATGTGTTAAATGCAGCAATGTGAAGTCTGGTAATCGTGAGTCGGTAAAGACCCACTTGATTGTTCATGGAATTATTAAAAACTACAGATTTTGGTGTCATCACGACGAAACACAGGGTGAGTCCATATCGGAGGTTGATGAAGAACAAGATGAAATGGCAGAAGAAAGCCAGAGTTACGATGAAATGCAAGAAATGATTGGAGATTTATTTCATAATTCACCTAGCATTGTTGCAACTGATGCCTGCACGTCGAGTCAGAATATTCTTGAACAGGAACCAGATGGACACGCAAAACAATTCTACAGTCTTTTAGGTGACTCTGAGAAACCTTTGTATGAAGGCTCTAAATGTTCAAAGTTATCTGCTTTAGTGAAACTACTTCACATAAAGAGCCTAAATAGGTGGAGTAATAAATCATTCTCAATGTTGCTCCAGTTTTTGAATGAGGAGCTATTGCCAGGGGAATCAACACTGCCTAATTCGTATGACGAGGCCAAAAAGTTGATCCGAGACCTTGGCCTATCATATGAAAAAATTGATTCTTGTCCATTCTCTTGCATGTTGTTTTGGAAAAGTGAAGAAGGTCTCGATACGTGTCAGAGATGTGGTGCTTCTAGGTGGAAACTTGATAAACATGGAAGAGAGATCAAGCGCAAGGCAAATGGTAAAAAAATACCACAAAAGACATTGCGATACTTTCCTCTTAAGCCGTGATTGCAAAGGCTTTACATGTCTTCGAAGACAGCTTCTGATATGAGATGGCACCATGAAAGACAAGTTGAGGGCGGAGTGATGAGGCATCCAGCTGACTCTGAGGCTTGGAAAAACTTTAATGAGCTACATGAAAGCTTTGTCGAAGAGCCTCGAAATGTTAGGCTTGGGCTTGCAAGCGATGGTTTCCAGCCTTTCACAAATTCAAAAGTTTTATATAGCATATGGCCTGTTTTACTTGTACCATATAACTTACCACCATGGATGTGCATGAAGCAATCCAATTTTATTTTATCTATGCTCATTCCTGGTCCAACTGGTCCTGGAGATGTTATTAACACCTACTTACAACCATTGATAGAAGAACTAAATGAGTTGTGGGTCTCAGGCGTTCGAACGTATGATGTATCTCCGAGACATAATTTCATTTTACGTGCAACACTAATTTGGACTATTAATGTTTTTCCTGCTTATGCAAATTTATCTAGATGGAGCACTAAGGGGAAATTAGCATGTCCTTGTTGTAATAAGCACACTCATTCTATCAGGTTATCTAATGGTGGAAAGCAAAGCTATATGGGACATCGTCGCTATCTTGATGAAAATCACAGTTGGAGAAAGGATAAAAAATCATTTGATGGCACTAGGGAGAGAGGGTATGCAGCGCCGAAGTTGACCGGAGATGATATCCTTAAGCAGGTGGAAGATCTCATAGGGATCACCTTGACCAATCATCCTGAGAAGAAATTGAAAATATCACACGAAAGACGAGGAGATAATTGGAATAAGAAAAGTATTTTTTTTGAATTGCCATATTGGAGAACCCTCTTATTGCGACATAATTTAGATGTCATGCATATTGAGAAGAATATTTGTGATAATCTGCTGGGAACAATCATGAACATTAAAGGTAAAACAAAGGATAATATCAAAGCCCGTCTCGATTTACAAGCAATGGGTTTAAAATCAGAGTTACATCCAATCCAGAGAGGAGATAAGCTTGTGATGCCGGCAGCTTGTTATACTTTATCCCAAGAAGAGCAAAGCAAATTTTGTCGATTTCTGAAGGAGTTAAAAGTTCCTGATGGATTTTCATCCAATATTTCTTAATGTGTAAACCTTAAAGAGCGTAAGATTTTGGGGTTAAAGAGTCATGATTGTCACATTCTTTTACAGCACTTGATTCCTGTATCGATTCGTGGCCTTCTTCTTGCAAAAGTGTGTGAACCAATTTTTGAACTTTCCATATTCTTCACTATTTTATGTGCCAAGACATTACGGGTGGATGAACTAAAGCAAATTGATAAACAGATTCCACTTACGTTATGTAAGCTTGAGAGGAATTTTCCACCATCAATTTTTGATGTTATGTTGCATTTAGCAGTTCATTTAGCATCTGAAGCCATACTTGGAGGGCCTGTTTAATTTCGATGGATGTACCCAGCGGAGCGTCAGCTTTATACTTATAAGTCATATATCAGAAATAGGGCTCGTCCAGAAGGGTCAATTACCGAAGGATATATAGCAGATGAATGTATGACTCTTTGCTCGAGGTATCTAAAAGGCTTCGAGACAAAGTTTAATCGCCTTGAAAGAAATTATGAAGATGGTAATAGAAAATGTCATGAAGGACAACTATCTATTTTTAGACATAGTAGGCGGGCATTGGGTGCTACCACCACCCGCTACCTTGATGAACGTGAGTGGTTGCAAGCTCATATTTATGTTCTAAGGAACTGTGATGAAGTGCAACCACATATTGAGTAAGTGACTAAAGTTTAAGATTCTGTTAAATTTAATATAGTTAGTCAACACTAATCACATATATGATATTTTAATGTAGGGACTATAATGAATTCGTGAGAGAACCCACAGATCACTATAATGATAAAGATTGGGATAAGAACTTTATCGAGTGGTTCCAATCTCTAGTAAATATCTTGCCTTATTTTTTTATCTTGATTGGTTCATTTTATTACATGTTCCATGACTTGATCATATTTTGGTTTTGTTTAGGTTTATCAGAGTTATCGAGAAGATGATGACTTACTTTCATTATCTCGTGGTCCAAGTAAGATTCTTAAATGTTTTACTGGATTTGTCATAGATGGACATCAATTTCATACAGAAAGTCGAGATAATTGTTTGTCAATTCAAAATAACGGGGTTGCAGTTGTTGGTGATGGTGGTGATGGTGGAGATATAGATTATTATGGTGCTTTGGATGAAGTTGTCGAATTAGAGTATCTTGGTGGAAGAAAGGTTGTTCTATTTCGTTGTAAGTGGTGGGATGTGAGGGACCGCTTTGAAAGAAGACAAATATGGATTTATCAGTATTAACTGCCGACACTTGCTAAAGACGAATGACCACTTTATACTTGCTGGCCAAGCATCACAAGTTTTTTATGTTGAGGATATTGCTAATGAAGGTTGGCATGTAGTTCTTAAAGCACAACCTCGTGATTCCTATGATATGCCACCAGATACAGATGATTGTGAGATAACAGACGATGGAGTTGAAGCTTATTTGCAAGATGAATCATTTGATGCTCAGGCTATTGCATCAACATCATTGGTAGATGATGATATCAATTTGAGAAGGAGCGATATTGATCCAATTATTGTAAATTCGGTCTCAACTTCAAAAAAGAGGAAAAAGGCATATGATAAATTTTAAGTTGTATCTTACTATAACTATTCTTTTTTTAGACATATGATGTTTCTTTTCTTCATATTTTGAATGCGGCTTTGACATTGTAGCAAGTGCTTCTACATTAGTGCACTATGTATTTATTATTATGTTTGTCCTTCATGATATTTTTTTTATTCATTTCTCTTTTGACATTTGTTTCATACATAGTGTGTAATACTTAGATTTCTTTTCATAGCAAGAAAATGAAAACTCAAGAAGTCGATTCCAAAAGCAAAAGGACATAATTTCTAGCGCCCAGGTCATTAATTACGAAGCGACTTCAAGCACTTGCAGAAAATTCATTAAGAAGGGAGTCATTAATTACGAAGCGACTTCAAGCACTTGCAGAAAATTCATTAAGAAGGGAACAACTCCGTACTTGTCTTGACAAGAACTTGAATATTCAAAACCCAATACAAGATCAAAATATAGGTGCAAATTTTAGTGCTGATTCAGAAAACTTTGAAGAGGAGAATTTTGTACAAAATCGTAAGAGAAGTGCAAATGCTAATAATGAAGAGAATGATGATTCTGCAGGTTTATGAGAATTAAAATTTATTATTATTTATTTTTATCTTTCGATTTATTTTTTATGATTGGATTAATAATTGCTTAATTTTTGTAGAATCAAATAATCATCGAGTGCAAAGTGATGATGCAATACTAAATGAAACTCAACAAGAAGGTATATTCTTTATTAATTACAAGGAGGAATATTTTTATCATTTTTTTAAACTATATCTTGATTCTAACATATGATATGACGTATGCAGCTGATAATTCTCAAAAGAAGAAAAATTCACCTCGTGGTAGTAATAAGTGTCTAAAGTTGAATAATTTGTCACATGGCGAGAAAAAGATTATTACTTTTTATCAGAATAGAGCTATTGAACCAGAATTTTCACAATATCTTAGAATTATTATTCGTAATAGAAATATTTGTCCAGTAGCTGTTGAGAATTGGGCCAAAATACCACAACAAAATAAAGATTATATGTGGGCATCCATTAAGGTACATTGAAAATTAATTTTTTGTAATTGGTTTTTAATTCTTATAAATTAAATTTTGATTCAAATTTGATGTAGGATAAATTTGATGTTGAGGACATGGAGCAAAAGAAAGAGTCAGTAATGAGACACTTGCGCGATTTGTGGAATTAGTGGCGTGGTGACATGTACAGAAAATATGTGAAAGAAAATTCATTGCAAGTTACACTTAGAAATAAACCTACAGAAGTGAGTGTTGATGACTGGGATTGGCTAGTCAAGGAGCATTATTTTTCTTCAAAATTTCAGGTATTAATCTCATAATTTTATTAATTTTGTTCCATGTATATTATTGGATTGTTGAAATTATCTTTTAATCTTGATGTATAGAAAGCAAGCCAACAAAATATACCTAACAGAGGCAAAAGAAAGATGCTCCACCACACGGGCAGCAAACCCTTTAGACAAATTGCGTGGGAATTGGTATAAATTCAAAACTAATTTTCTATTTATTTAAAACTACTTTGTTTTTAAGTTTGATTTTGTACTCATTTTTATTTAATATTTGAATAAGGGTGGCAAGTCAGGAAATCCACCTGATGTGGCAAAATTGTTTCATGAAACTCGAAAGAAAGCTAATGAAACACTAGATACTAGGGATCAAGAAAAATATGTAAGTAGAATATGTGTTTAAGTTTGATAATGATGCATTATATAGTACTAACATATGGATTTAATTTTTATAGGATGAAATTATTCAAGTCAAACAAGCAAACCCTTCACTTTCTGACATTGAGATAGTTGAGAAAATCTGGGGAAATCAATCTCATGGTCACATCACTGTATTTGGTGGTGGGACTACTTTGAAAGATTTGAGAGGACCGCTCCCTAGTCGATCTAATCTTGACGCACGGATTATAGAAGAAAAGAGAAAGAACCAAATGCTTCAACAACGCTTAGACGAGTAGGAGCAACAACAACAAAGGATGTCTGAGTTAGAGGCACAAGTGAAAGCTATGCAAGAACTTTTTTTTAGGCAATCACCTTCATTGACTCCTCAAACTCGAGAACATGTGCAGGATTAGGTAATTTTTTTTGTAAAATCTCTTATATATTTTTATGATTGACTACTTGCACTAAAAATGTGATTTTTACTTAATAAGATAATATTTTCTTAATTGATATTTCTTAATTATGTGTTTTTTTAATTTTTCAGGCTATCCATGCAAGATTAGGAGGGGGGTAACTCGAGTCTTCTTTTGACGATGATTAGAGATGAAAGAATGTGTCTTCCCCAAACTTTTATTTTAATTTGTTTTTAGATAGTTTCATGTATTTTTTTTTAGAATAATTAGGATATTAACTCTTGTTATTAGTATTGAATATTTAAGGATGGTGGAATTTTATTTATTGATGTCATTAATGAATGGAATTTTTATTTTCCCTCTTATTCATTATTGGGTATTTTTAATATATTTTTGTTGTGAATATTAGTGCCAGGTTGAGAATAATCTGATAGTTGCCTATGAATGGAAAAATTATTATTATTAAAGTATATTAGAAATTTGTAGTCTATAATGACGGTTTTAAAAATAGTATTTTGTTCATCAACGAAGGGAAAACACCATCGTTGATGGGTTACTAATTACCCATTATGAGGACTTTTACGACGGTATCTAACCGTCATTAATTACTCTTTAACGATGGGAAAATATCCCGTAACTAATGGTAACGACGGGAAAATATCCCCATAACTAATAGTAACGACCGGAAAATATCCCCGTAACTAATAGTAATGACGGGAAAATATCCCGTCACTGATGGTAACGATGGGAAAATATCCCGTCACTGATGGCAACGACGGTGATAATTACCGTCGTAAATATTAACGACGGTAATATGTTCTGTCATTATAGACTCTATAACGACGGGTAGTATATCCCTTCGTGACCCTTTAGCGAAGAGGGCTTCAACGACGGGTGACGAATGGATTTTTCCCCGTCGTTAGCATACAATAACAAATGTTTTCAGCTCTTTAACGAAGGGAAATCCCTTCGTTAAATACATAATTTCTTGTAGTGCATAAACCTCCGGAAGAGTAAGAGTAGCTTTTGGGGAATTTTTAGAACCATTGAAGATTGCGATGAATCAGGATTTCCAAATGAACCAAGTGGTAATTGCAATGAAAGCTACTGCTGGAAGATCATGCATGGGCGAATTAAAAGGCTTTTTCCACCAATGATTCAGCCAATGAGCAAGGGAGGAGAGGGGTGGGACTGCACAACCAACCTGAGCCCAAATAAAGCAGCAGTACTCGCACGTAATGAAGAGCTAGATGGTCTAGAGTTTCATTGTCCATAACACAAAGTAGGCAAAGGCGATCAATAGACATACTGTGTTTCACTAATATATCCCGGGGGGTGAGTCTATTGTTTAAGGCTCTCCAAATGAAGATCTTAACAAGAGGAGGAATGACCTTAACTTGGAGAATGTTCATTGCAGTTCTCAACTCAAGAATAAGGGGATTGTTGTGCGAATGAGAGCCCAACCACATGAGATTGTATATTGCTTTTGTTGTGAAGGAGGGAGAGAGCAGCCCCTTCAAGACTAGAGAATCTTCAGCCTGATCGAGGTTATGCGTACGATGTGGGATGGGCGTGTGGATGATTGCCTCAGAGGTGGTGTAATCAAAGCTTGCACAAATCAGATCGGTATTCCAGGAATTTGAGGCAACATCAACAAGATCTCTAACCATTGATATAGGGAAGGGGAGGGAATCTGGTTGGGGAATGACCGAATGAGAGATGATTGGTTCGCCATCCAGAGATCATTAAAATGGAAATGTTGCAACCATTTCCAATGGATCAAGAACAACCCAATTTGACAAGCTTCCTCCCGTCCAAAATGATTTGCCAAATAGCCGATGCGGAAGGCTTCGCTGAAATGCACCAAAAAATATTGTTCTTGAGATATTTATCTATAAACATCTTGATCAAAATAGTGTTCTTGTCACTGACAAATTGTCAAGTAAGCTTGCTAAGTAGAGCCAAAATTATTTAGTGAGGACATCGGATTCCCAATCCGCCCAGGAACATGGGTTTTTGGATTGTCCTCCAACTAATGTAATGGGAAATGGTGATCATACCCATGAGGTACATGGGTGTTGGATAGCGGATTCCTAATCTATTTTGGTAACATGAGGTTATTAGGATTCCTAATCTATTTCCTAATCTATTTTGGTAACATGAGGTTATTAGGATTCCTAATCTATTTTGGTTATAGGTTATTAGGATTCCTAATTTGATTTGGCTTTTGGTTTAGAATTCCTAGTATGTTTATGATTTTAGGATTTCTATATATATGGAACAATTGGAAGAGAGAATTGGGAGAAGCAAATTGGGGATATTTGGAGCACAGAAAAGAGATATTTTTTTGAGCTATTTGTTTAGGGTTTTGTTTGGAGAGATTAAGAGTTTTGTTGGTGAGATTAGTTTGTTCCTTCGAGTGATTTGTAATCTCAATTTGTACTCTTCTTCTCTATTAGTAAAAATGTTGGAAATTTATCAAATAATTAAGAATATAGCATGCAGATAAATCCGAATAAAATAAATAAGAGATTAGAAATTCAGGCCTGACGGGAGCAGTCGTGTATTCACTGCCCTAGAAGATTGAGAACCCGCCTATCGCCCTGGCGCAGATGGTTCCCTCCCCCTAGCGGTAAAAACCCCCGAAAACGGCCGGCCTCTACACTCGGGCGAGAGTGCAGAGCTTCAGCTCAGATGAAGGAAGTTGCCCATAAAAGAAAACTAAGATGTAGATAAAAATAATATGTAGGGGAGAGAAGAAAAACAAGAGAAACTTGTTATATATTTTTTCTTATTATTTTGAGCTCAACATATGGATATATATATAGGGTTGGAAAAGACGTTACAAAACCCGTAATTAATTCTGTAACGTTCGTCATAAATTTTGTAACGTTCCCCATAATTATATGGCCGTTACACATATTTTTAATTGCTAATTAAAACATGTTTTAATTACAAAAATTTATTATTATTCATGAAGGCAAAATTGTCTTTTCTTAACAAAATATCTAACAGTCCCCCCCAAAAGGCAATATTGACTGAAAACTTAAAAATCAATAAATAAATTAATAAATCACAAAATGAAAATAGGTTGGGCAACCTTTCGTATCGTGAATTCGGGAGAGGTAGCTTTCGGCTTTGAACCTTTCCTTAGTGAGTTCATCGCCACCTGAGGGACATAATGGACTAGGCCTTGAATTAGGCCCCTTTAATCAGGTATTGATGAAAACACACACAATACGCTTCATCTATTGAGCAAAGCGGGTTGAGCGTTAAAGGCCATGCTCACAATAAACCGACTCATGAGAGTTTCTAGGGGTTAGCCCAGCCCCCCCTAACCGCGGCCATCACGGTTCCTCTCACGTAGGTAAGTCCTCAAAGGGTACTACAGCTGTTTATTTAATACCCCCCACAATACACGCGTTGGACTTATTAAGAGTAAAACTCAGCCTAGCCAGCTGTATCATAAGAGCATCGTCATCATAGAGAAGGGGTAGTAGCAAATGCTACATAATGATATATAAATATATCTAGGTCGATGCTCCACACGAGTGTCACTAGTCCAGCTTGTTTCTACCACATTGAACCGACATTGGGACTACGTCTCCAAATAAGGGTTGGGTTGCCGCTGTCAGTGACCTCATCTATGGGCTTAACCCCATCTCCCTCGATGAATCCAGAACCACACTCCTGGATAATCCCTTAGTCAAAGGGTCATCAAGATTCTTTTCACAGACTTTACAAAGTCTAGAATCATAACTTTGCCTAGCAGGCGTTGTATTTATTTATCAAGTTCTTATTTTGTAATTAGTCCATCATATTGTTTGAAATTGATATTAGGTCATGATCTATGATCATAAAAGATCATAGTCTATGTCTGAAGAGATTGACCTTAATATCTGAACATTTCAAATTAATCTGGAACTAAAAATTCTGCAGTTATGCATATGCACATGAGTGAAATTAATAATAGATACATGCAGAGCATAATAGGATTTTGTATCTTAAAAAATATTTTCGTAGCTTAAAATATATTTCATACTTCATAATTCAAATGCATAAAAATTTTAAATTATTCTATAATAAGAGGTTACAAATTGGTTGCCTACAAAGGAGACCGTCCAAATTTAAATCGGTTGCCTACAAATGTGACCTTCCAAATTTAAATTGGTTGTCTACAAAGGAGACCTTCCAAATTTATGTTGCCATTTTCTAGTACCACCTCTTATACAAATAATAATAATAATAATATTTGTACATACGTGCTTTAAATTTTACAAGTGCATTCTTGCATAAAACCTTGTAATTAATCATGTAACAAATGCAAGTTATCTAAAAAGACATATGAACATTTACTGCAATATTCATCAAAATGCAATAAAAGTGATAAACTTTACATTTGAAGGTTTGAAATATAATCCACCATATAAAATAGAATTTTAAAAAATGCACCTCTTTGATTTGGTTCGCTCATATATTGATCATTTATCATTAGGCAATATATGATGCAAGAAACGTAATTAAATAAATGCATATGAATTTTTTTTTTTTAATAATTCCGGTCCTATTATTCCAAACCAA